CCACGAGTCCTGCACCTCACAGGATTCGAACCCAGGACCTTCGGTATTGTGCACGAACGCCATAACCACCAGACCACTGAGCCGGTATCTAACGGTGTTAATGTCTAACTTGATCAAATTTTTAGCAAAAATGTCAAAACAGTTCTACTATTTGGGGAGGAAACTTGGAAAACCATGAGAGCCATCATCTGCAAGATATAAGTGTTTATTAACAGCTGTTTACGCAAAATACTAGGGATCTATTGCCCAGACACCATTAACAACAACCTACTGTGGAAAAGAACAAACCAGGTTCCAGTAGAGAAGGAAATCAGACAGGAGCTTTGGAAGTGGATAGGACATACATTGCGAAAAGCACCTAACTACGACACAGGACATGCCCTAACTTGGAACCCTTAGGGTCAAAGGGAAAGAGGAAGGCGAAAGAACACATTAGGCCTAGAAATAGAGACAGACGTAAAAAGAATGAAGTCGGTGCTGATGATGTTGTTCAGAAAAAATATCCAACACGGAGAAAAAAACCCACCAGAATCACCTACCTGAGCTACAAATTTTCCCAAACCACCTCAAGATGAACAGCGATTGGACAGAACCAGAAAGGAAGGCTCATGACAGAGTAGAATGAAGAATGCTGATTTGTGGCTTATACTCCTTTGGGGTAACAGGTATATTTAAGTAAGCAAGTAAATACATAGTCGATTTATTGGTCCTATCTTTGCTTTTATTATGGTATACATTGGTTGAACTTCCATTTTAGAAATGTAAATGAGTAAATTTTGATGAGTTGCTGAAGTGATGGAGCTGGAAATACATATTTTCTACACTATATTGAAATTCTATAGGAGTCACACTTTTCTGATTGTTTGAAATGTTCGCAAAAAGGTAGGCTTCTATTCAAGAATAACTCTACTTTCTCCACTGATATCCTGCTCAGCAGGTTCTGACAACAACCTGTTCTGACATCAGTCAACCACCTGGCGAGAAGGCGAATAGATCAACAAATTCGGAGATAAGTGGTACACACAACCAAAACATCCAACTCCACGACAATCATTCACCTTAGCCGGAAATTCTCTCTCGACCATTTCAACATCGCCGACAATCATTATGATAGGATGAAACAGAGGCGTCCAGCCACTCACTAGCTAAGGCCAACTACTTGCATCACTAAACTCAGAATGCATATTTTCATAAAGATCAAATCTATTTATAGGCTAAGGTGAAAAAAAATTTGTTAAACCTTTCATGTTACGTAATATATATATGTAAATATATACTACTGTAATATCATTGACGTAATGGATAATTTTTTTTTGCATAGTTACACACCGATCATAATTACCATTAGTGGTGTTGTTGTCTGTCATGATGTTGTCATCACATGTAAAAAAGGCTGACTTGGTAACATATGAAAAAAAATATTTATCCAGATTAACTGTGATCTGATTGTAATTTAATACACAGTTTATCACTACACTAATTAAAACTTAATACCAGTCAATTGACATCAGAATTCTAATATTAAATCCGATTTTCATGCATACAACAATTAGAGATAGATGCTTCTTAGTTGACGAATGCTAGTCTAACAATGATTGGTTGATTGATCTCTATAATTCTAATTAAGAAAAAAAGGTGCTAATAGTCGATGGTGTTTGTTGTTGTGAATTGGGTAAGTAACAGCCAATTTGTTCATTTCAGATGGATATCAAAACTGCATCACATCTCCAATTATAATCATGCTTTGATTACATCACAAATGAGTGGGTGTGTGTATATTTTTTGTCTTTTCAACATGTGAATCAGTCATTTGGTTAGGGTTGATAGGCACTTGTATCATGCAATATGATGCAAGTATTTATGCATTCAGTTTGAAAATGTGATAATTGTTTGAAAAATAGATATATTCGTATGATTACTTACTATCTGTATATATATAATTTGAAAATTATTCTTCTTATCTTGCATACATTTGTATTTCATGAAAGTTGGTTTTAAAGAAATCACTTGATAACAATGTCAGTAAGTATTCAGTCAGATGCAACGTAGAACTTCGTACGTAAGTACATCAGTTCATGTTGCCATATCATATCAACACAGAGATATGATTGTCAATTCAAATCCAATAGTAATAGAGGTAGTAAAGGTATTAGCAGTAGTAGGAGAGGTTAAGATTAGAAGATATTGTTCATGAAGTTTGATTCAGTGAGAAAAGTTTAGAAAGACAAAACTAGATGTGTTGAATAATCCATAAGATTAGGATTTGAGAGAACACAAAGAATAAATGCACCTGCGAACGATTTTGAGCCATGTCATTCAAGGTCTCTAACCATCGATTATTATCATCTCGCGGACCCCAACCAGGTAGTCGACAATTACCGACATGACTAAATCCATTCGTCAATGACTTCATGGATTTCTGCCATGTTTTGGTTTGGCCGCCCCTAACTTTCTTCAAACCTATTCCTACTCGTCGAGGCAGTCGGTGGTTAGCCATAGGCAACATATGTCCCAACCACCTCAACTGATGAAGTTTCATTACTTCATCTATTGATATGCCATTCTTACCTTGCACTCGTTTCCTAAGGTAAGGTAACAATGATAACAGATTGGTTTCTAAACTAATAATTCTCATTAGATCAACGCTAATATACAGTTGTAAAGATTGTTGAGTTTGATGTGCTCAGTAGTGAATCGCTTTATGAGAAGTCAAGACCAGTGAAGTTCAATTATTGTCAGTTGTGAAGCAGTTCGCTTTGTAAGTAGGAAATTCTCGAAGTTCTAATGAGAAGCCGATATCAGTAGATTACAGTTGTGCCAGAAGACCTAAAGACAATCGGTCATGATCGCACATTACCGTGGATTGATAGTGTTAGATGCTGATACAGTCGAACAGTGTTTCCCAGGTTCTGGATGATGATGGTTTAACTTGGATCGGTTTTGATGAAACTCAACAATTTCCAAAAATCTCAAATTCACTGAAGATATTTAATTTGAGAATTTTTAATTTCGATTTCAAATCAGTTGTAACAGATTTACAATATTCAGGAAATTTTTCAAACAACTATCATTTACTTATTGAAATCATGAATCGATCAATGTTAGACCACCCTTAGAAACCTGTAAGCACTGAAAGATGGCCGTTTCATCCTGGCATCGGACTAATCAGCAGTGCGCATCCTCTATTACTGCATCTGGCAGCATTCGAACTGAGAACCTTTGGTCTTGCACGCGAACGCCTAACCTGAAGGCAACTGAGCTGGCATCCGACAGTGTCTATGGTCTAACTGCGATCAATTCGCCGAGTTGTGCAACCTCATACATCATTGTGAATTATCTGAAATATTTTGAGAATCTGATTTTTTCTAAATTGAACAAGATATGACTAAGCATAACAAAACAGATGATTCACTATAATGTTGCATTCTTCAGAAAATCGTAATGAGGTTGTACAAGTTCATTGATTGATCGAAATTAGACATTTACATCGTTAGATGTTGACTCAGTGGTCTAGAAGTTAGGCGTTTGCTTGCACGACTGTAGGTCGGTGATTCAATTTCGACGAGCCATTGTCACAGATGTACACTGCTGATGAGTTAAATACTTGGACGAATCAGCCGTCTACTGCTTCCAAGTCTCTAATGGTGGTCATCTAACATTGATCGATCCCCGATTTCAAAGAGATTCCACATACATTACTTTGAGTGATATTCTCACGTAAGCGCTTTTTTTTTCTGAGCAAGTTGGCTGTCTACGGTTCTGGTTCAGTAACCCTATAGCCCAACCGTTCTCTTTTAACCGGTTTGTGACAAGTAGTAACCCTTGAAGGGCTGATACACAGCGTCATCTCATATCGTCTCTTTCTCGAATACAGGTATTTCCTCGTATCAAGTAATAACCGGAATTCAAATTACGTCACACAATAATAATAATTATAATAATTAAAAACAGAAATATCCTTAAAAAAGGGTGCAAAAAAATTAATTTATACAATTTTTAATCTGAGTGAGCGAATGACTGACTGAATGAATGAACTGTGTCAATGTCATTTGACAGTTGTTTTTCAAAAGACAGTTCCATCATACCTGATTAGTTGGCTCTCAAAAGTATGCAACTCATCATTCTTCCGTGTAAATAATTAGCATACTTCTTGATAGGAAGTAAAATTACTTTTGAAAAATAGAACAAGCAAATATCACACTATTATGAATAATAATAATAATAATAATAATAATAATAATAATAATAGTAGTAATAATAATACAAATCTAACCTTATCCACTAGGACCGTTAGTTAGTTAGTTAGTTAGTTAGTTAAATAGATAGATAGATAGATAGGTAGGTACATATGACACTATTGACTATTGACAATTTGTGTATGTTTTAAATGATTAAAAAAAACGTGACAAGCATTCAATTTTCAATTTTTTATTATTGTTGTTTGACAATAATAATAATAATAATAATGTTGTCTTGAAAATGTCAACACATCACAATTTATTCTTATCAATTTTTTTTCCAAAAAAATTATCGTGTTTTTCTCTTTTTTTTTCTAGAAAAAACAAACTTTGATTAAGTTTTGAATCAGTTCACAATCAAGTAGACGACGTTGAATATTGTGACTATCTATCTATCTATAGTTATGCCATGATCTTTTGAAAAATAAATGATTTAATTGAGTTACAAGAAAAAACTAGTGAGAGAGTGAGTGAGTGAGAGCGAGGGAGAGAGAGAGAGAGGCCCAAAGAAAGAATTGATGGGGAAATAATAGGAAGAAGAAGAAGAAAAACTCTAACTGTAATGATTGTCATCATCATCATTATCATGTACACACACACACATTCATGTTTATCGTATAATGAAAGAAAACAGAATTGAATTATGCAATTATTTCATGCACGTGTACCTTCTGCATGTGTGTTGATCTGTATATGCGTGTGTGTGTGTGTGCAAGCAGATCATCCTTATACACATGTATATATATATATATATGTATAGATTTATGTGTAAATCTTCGATATCAGTGAATGGCTTTTAGTAGTAGTAGTAGTAGTAGTAGTAGTAGTAGTAGTAGTAGTAGTAGTAGTAGTAGTAGTAGTAGTAGTAGTAGTAGTAGTAGTAGTAGTAGTAGTAGTAGTAGTAGTAGTAGTAGTAGTAGTAGTAGTAGTAGTAGTAGTAGTAGTAGTAGTAGTAGTAGTAGTAGTAGTAGTAGTAGTAGTAGTAGTAGTAGTAGTAGTAGTAGTAGTAGTAGTAGTAGTAGTAGTGGTAGTAGTAATATAAGAAGATAAGCGAATTAAGCAATAAATTAACTTGCATAGGATAACACGTGAAGAATGTTCATTTGGATAAACACACACGCATATACACACACACAGTGAAAAAGTTTTGTTGCATGTATTATTGATTGATAAAAAGTAGTAAAATGTAAGAACTAATGAAGATGATGATGATGAATGATGATGTGAACAAGTATAGGAAGGTAATTTTACACATTTGATATCATCAATCAATCATTGTTAGACCAGCATTGGAGGAAACCTGGAAGCACTGGACGGCCGCTTCATCCTGGTAAGGGATTCATCAGCAGTGAGTCTCCCCACGATTCCCGCACCTCACAGGATTCGAACCCAGGACCTTACGGTTTGTGCGCGAACGCCTAACCTATGGACCGCTGGGCTGGCTTCCAAAGGTGTGAACGTCTAAATGTGATTGATCAAGGGATTTTGCGTGACCTCACTCATATACCCTTGGCAGTTACTACCTAACAGGGTTGAACCCCATAGGTCACGTCTTTTCACTAGAATTCCGAGAATTTCCACACGAAGCTAACCCAATACCGGGGTGAAACAGCCGTCTTTCAGTGCTTCTAGGTTTCTAACTGTGGTCTAAAAATCAATGACTAATGATTTCAAATGTGTAATAACACTAATCTTCATAACTCTAATTAAAGTTATATTTATGTAAATTGAAATGTTGGATAGATCAATGTTAGATTACCATTAGAAGAAATCTGGAAGCAATGAATGGCCGTTTCGTCATATTATGAGACTTATGTTGGACGCTGGCTCAATACTTTGGAAGTTAAGATCAAGGGTCCTGGATTCGATTCCTGTGACTATCCTGTTGATTAGTGCCATTCTAGGACGGAATAATCACCCAGCGTTTCCGTGTCTCTAACGTTAGTCTAACAATGATCGATTCATGACTTCAATGAGACTCGACAATCTCCATATTTGTATAATCAAAATTATTGTACATTTTATTGAAATCCTTCAAATTTTCATGACAAGTGTTAATCCATGCAGCTGGTACAGTCAGAAAATGTTAACTGGTTTTCATTTATTCAGATTTTAAGGTGTACATCTTTTCGATGTTAGATGACAGTAACTAGAAACACAAACAACTTCATTTCTTGCAGGAACTTATGTTTGATCAATAGTGTGATCGTGTGTGTGTGTGTGTAGGTGTTCCATGTTCACAATAACCTAAATGACTTAACACTATGATGCATTCTGTGTGACATCAGTGAAATCCAACTTTTTCCTATTGCAATTAAAAGAAAAATGACTTTGTTCACAACTTGAAATTAATCGATATACAATTTGAATGTTTTCAAAAAATGCTTAGTTCAATATTATGTAACAACATGTTATCTAATTTTTATTGTTACAATTTCAGGATAATATTGTTACCTTCAAGAATATTCATAAATATTACTCGGCATAGTTCATTTCTATCTATCGATCCACACATCTATCTATCTATCTATCTATCTATCTATCTATCTATCTATCTATCTATCTATCTATCTATCTATCTATCTATCTATCTATCTATCTATCTATCTATCTATCTATCTATCTATCTATCTATCTATCTATCTATCTATCTATCTATCTATCTATCTATCTATCTATCTATCTATCTATCTATCTATCTATCTATCTATCTATCTATCTATCTATCTATCTATCTATCTATCTATCTATCTATCTATCTATCTATCTATCTATCTTTCTATCTATCTATCTATCTATCTATCTATCTATCTATCTATCTATCTATCTATCTATCTATCTATCTATCTATCTATCTATCTATCTATCTATCTATCTATCTATCTATCTATCTATCTATCTATCTATCTATCTATCTATCTATCTATCTATCTATCTATCTATCTATCTATCTATCTATCTATCTATCTATCTATCTATCTATCTATCTATCTATCTATCTATCTATCTATCTATCTATCTATCTATCTATCTATCTATCTATCTATCTATCTATCTATCTATCTATCTATCTATCTATCTATCTATCTATCTATCTATCTATCTATCTATCTATCTATCTATCGGTTAAGTTTTTCACTAGGTATGCCTGAAGCTATTACCAGTTCACCTGAGTTGATAAACGCGAACGAGACCATTACCAGCATCCAGATAGGCTACCTTCAGTCCCAAGCTGAAGACAGAAGGCTTTATAAGCGTAGAAAGTATATTCTACAATGACCCAGTAATCTCAGTGCAATGAAGTACACAACTCTCGTTTATTTATACATAGAAACGCGTTTGGGGCAATCACAAAAATAGCACACTAAAATACACAGCAGCCAATCACAGCCATGGATTTTCCTGGTGGGAAATGAATTCTCAAGGTCAGCTGACCAGACCATGCTGGCAAACGTGAAAACCAAAATAAGGCATTATCAAGCGAATTTTGGGGATCTAACATTCCTAACACTCCTCCCATTTTTAATCGAGTATGCTCCTGGAATCGACGTGCATCTTGACTGTCGTCCGCCGCTGTCTGAGAGGATACCTTCGGGAACGAAGAACAGCTTGCTGCTGAGTTTCTTCTCGTAGTGGGGCTATTGGTTGGTTGAAGGTATCAAGCAGGATGTCAAGGGGAAGGTTTTCTTCTCTTGATGGGCGATCTAGGGCTAGTCGTCTGTGTATCTAATTTCGATGACGTGACCATTTATCACCTCCTACCTCTTCTTCTTACATAACTCATCCAAATCTTCTGACCACTCTCGCTTCTGCCCAAGGACAATCGTTCGTTCTGTGGTCACAGGCAAACATAGGGCATCCCACTTCGTAAGCGGATTGTCTTTGCGGCCTAGCCTCCACTGATGTTGGTGCATTAGTCGGATGCATCAGGCTGTGAATCGTTTCCAATCAGGATTTGTGCTGGGGACTTTTGCTCCGAAAACAACTCATTCGGTGTTGTTCGATAGATGTACAAGAAATTTTGTAACGCGTCCGCTGGTGTCCCCTCCTCTATCTATCTATCTATTATAGGCAACAGTTCTATTTTTAGTTAATAGCTCTCATTCGTCTTTAGTAAGGTTCGCCAATTGATCAGTTTCGACAGGAATATTGGTTTTTATGAAAGGAGTCCCTTGATATTATCATATATATATATATATATATATATATATATATATATATATATATATATATATATATATATATATATATTAGTTGAAATGGTATTTAAACCTTTGTTTGCATTAAGTTCAAATGGGAGAGGGACTCCTTTGGGAGTAATTGCACGTCCTACACGAAGTTTTTGTCCTGCCAGGTCGAAACAATTCATGCTTGAAACAGCCGCGATACCAGATTCTTCTGATTCGAAATCAATGTAACCGAATTCCCGATGTCGACCAGAACATTTGGGATCTCGATACAAGCTGCAGCTATTTACTCTCCCAAATGCCTCAAATACAGTTTGAATATAACTCTGGATGGACTGAAGCAATGTATACACAAGGGTTAGTACTGACTTCAGCACGTAGTTTGGCTTCTAAGGCAGCAGTCTGAGGAGCATTGCTTGGTCGCCCGACCTTTAGATTCCTGTCAGCTAAAGTGTACCCATTCATTTGATCCAATGCCAAGGAAGCTGCTTCTGGGACCTCAAATTCAACAAAAGAAGAAGGTTCAAAAGAAGATGAATTACGCAATCAAAAACTTTGCAATAATATTAAACTACTGACCATCAACTTAATGGTTTCAAAGTTGACTTATCTTCCCACAATCCCAAGTTCGATTCCCGATGAGGTTGTATCACTTGACTGTTTTATAAATATGTAAATAAGTAAGTATAAATACCAAAATTTTATTTCACCAACTTACAAAATTAATCACATGTTCTTTTTCTAAATTACCAGTCACGATTTATTATTCTCTGACGTCCATACTGTGCGCGTGTGTGTGTGCATGTGTCTGTGTGTGTATGAAATACCAACGATAAACACCATGTACTTACACATGAAAGTACACTTGTAATTATAATCATAATAATAATAATAATAATAATAATAATAATAATCATAGTCACTGTGACAAAAGTTAATAAACAATCATGAAATTTTAGTTTTTGCTTCGAATTATTATTTTTTTGTCAAAAATTTTTCATTTTTGAATTCAAAACTGCGCACACAACGCACACAACTCATCTCATCATACAATCATCATCACCATCATCATCATCATCATCAACATCATAATATAAACAGATTAGTTGAAATATTAAAAATGTCTCTAACTACATCAAAAATCGGGTAGTAATGCAATTTCTCCGTGTGTGCAAGTGTGTGTGTGTGTGTGCGAGTGTGCACGTTCATATCAACACAAATAAACAATATCGAATGGAACTGTATTAGGTGTGTGCATGTGTGTGTGTGTGTGCTTGAAATCAACCTACTCCTTGTGTCCATTCCTCCTCGCCGCAGTCGGTGTTGTTATGGTGACGTTGTCAATGAGTGTTGCGATGATAACTTCCGTGAATCTGGTAAATTTTTTTTCACCCATTATTTATTTATTTATTTATGGTTTCTGTGAAAAACACCTTCAATGTGTAATATTAGTGATGTCTTCTTGTCGATTCAATCATCAGCTCTTCCGGCTTTGTGTGAATGAATGATGTATCTCTGTATCTATGTGCGTGTATACACACAGTGTATTAGTGCATTCGTGCAAATTTCGCCGGACTTTCCATTTGTTCACTCACTCACTCACTCACTCACTCATTATCCATACTGCGTTTTTCACTTGTTTACAAGATCGACACAATCATTGAAATATTTCATCTTAGTACTATTATTAATGATAATAATTATTATTACTAATGTATATGAAGCACCTGCTTATATATGATTAGACCATTACAAGAATCTCTTACATTTGTCATTAATGTAAACATACAGATTTGCTGTTACTAATACTACTAGTACTACTACTACTAATAGTAATACTATCATTGTTAATATTATGATGACTTCGACGATTACTTTATAAACTATTTGTATATATATATATACATTTAACTTTGTTATTAATTGTACAAATTGTATAAAAGAGTTAGTTATATCCGGTTCACTAGCGGATGTCTACACATTCACATACACACACGCACACACGTATACACAAAACGGACAAACAAATTAATAATAAATACATTCGATACAGAAACACTTTACACAGAATTGATGAACTGTATATATACATACATGTATATACATTAAGAAATTCATAATTTTAACTACATAGATAGAATTTTGTTTACAATAAAATTGTGTTTTGGATAGGATAGATTCATTGAAATTTGTAAATTTGCAAAAACTGTTACAAATTAACAAAGTGTCTATTGAGAATAAAGCAAAATTTGAATATAAAACATTTGACAATGAATTGTAAAAAGGTCGAAATGTACTATTATTAACATCGTCAAGATTCCTATTTCTAAGATTACTATACTACTACTACTACTACTACTACTACTACTACTACTACTACTACTACTACTACTACTACTACTACTACTACTACTACTACTACTACTACTACTACTACTACTACTACTACTACTACTACTACTACTACTACTACTACTACTACTACTACTACTACTACTACTACTACTACTACTACTACTACTACTACTACTACTACTACTACTACTACTACTACTACTACTACTACTACTACTACTACTACTACTACTACTACTACTACTACTACTACTACTACTACTACTACTACTACTACTACTACTACTACTACTACTACTACTACTACTACTACTACTACTACTACTACTACTACTACTACTACTACTACTACTACTACTACTACTTAGAATGCTGGAATGAGAGTAGGAGGTTGTGTTGCTTTTTATCTTACTGAGATATTATTGTATCATTTATCTGAACAGGACAGCTGACTATCTCCAAGACTCCTTCATTGTTTTTAGACCAGAAAGAGTACAAGAAGTTGCTATCGTGTCTTTGAATAAACAAAGAATTATTCAAACTGGGTCGTTACACTGACTAGGTGAATTTAGGTAAAGGAATACACTTGGATCCTGTGTACGACTCTCGCAACTATAAGAGGCACTTATGGTTCGATATATTTCAGCCTGAGCCGGAGATCCTTGTTCCTCCCCTTAGCATAGTTTACTGATACTGAAAACTTCAATATGTAGTTTGCAGTGATGTTTCAATAGACCAGCAATGATATTTCACGAACTGAAATCGTTAATACTAGTGGCAGTTGGAGAAAAAGTTAAAGCCGAAGGACAAGGGTTTGAGAGTAGAAACATAAGAAATATTTATTATTAAACCAAGTGAACTGATTATATAAAAGATAAGTTTAAGTTCCGCCGTTGATGTCTTCGGAGTTGTAACATCTTTGCTTGTCTGCAAAGTAGTAGGATATGGATTATTTAAGTTCCTGGAAAAAAAATTTGGATAGCATTAGTTTAATCGACCTAAAAATGTTCAAACAAAGCCAATGTGACAGATGGGCTTAGCACCGGTCACGTATTTTCTCTGAATGAATAATTTAAACATGTTGACTTCGTACTTTCCGCGACCTTTTGCCTGATGCTGTGATACTTTCAGAGTCAAACTTTTCTAATTCAGTAGATTTTCAGAATCATAAAAACACTGTGGATGCTAGTTGTTTGGGGAAAACGCTTCACTGTTACCAAGTCACAGTACAGTTTGTGGTACAGCTTCATTGACGAACCTTAGATCTTCTACTTTCAGCTTAACGACTCTGTAACCGACATGGTTTGGACATCAGGATCTAAGGAAACAAGTATTCCATCTTAAATTGCTCGATCAAATCATCATGATAGTCAAGTCAGACCACAACTGAGGATGACAGCTACAATCAGGTGAAAATAACCAGTCATTTGACATAAGATTTTAAGTCATCACTAACTAAAGTGGTTGAAACACATCTCATGTATACTTAACCACTGCCTATCTCAAAGTGGAATGTTGACTGGTGTGAGGACAGACTGAAAAAAAATGATGAGAGTGGCCAAACATTAATTTTTATCAGTCTATATAATCTGTAATTGTTGGTCTAAGCTACGTTGATGTATGCAGACTACTTGGTTGATGTCTATGTGTTACGATGGTCAATTGAAGGAAATGTTGAATACGATAACTGGTCGTGAATAACAAATGAATACATACATTGACTTTTTATCTCCTCGATTTTAAATTTCACTGTTCCTTTATATAAAGATTTTATTTCCTACTTCTCAAACCTTATTAGAAATGTTTAGTCTTTCTCATCAATACCACCACTACTACTACTACTACTACTACTACTGTGGTGCGCGCTACTTATAAGTAGTATGTGACGTGAGTGTAAACGCAATGTCTGGCAGCAGAAGATGAGGGAAGATCAAGAAAGGAAGAGTGGGAACACAATGGAATTTGTATGAAATGCATGAATAAGTGAAATGTCAGACGATGGATTGATGATGGACTGGATTGAAGAATTGCAAATTAACCGTTTACGATATGGTTTTCCTATTTTACTGAGTAACTCTGTAATTTTCGTTAAATACAATTCGGTTGCCTCACCTGTGTTCTCCGTCACTACACTACTACTACTTCTACTCACACTACTACTACTACTATTACGACTACCCGCACTACTACTACTACTACTACTACTACTACTACTACTACTACTACTACTACTACTTATATTAGTACTATGCAATAGTCTTTCAATCCATTTCATTATTGTCACACATCGATAAGATCACATAGAAAGATTACAAATTTGTTTTCTCACTTTCTCCCTTCTTTCACATCATAGCATATAATACTAACTAACTAACTAACTACTACTATTTTATGTGACATTGGCTTATCTGTGTGTTTATTACTGATTGGTTGGTGAAATTATTATGAAATTGCATTTTCCTCTCACTCGTCTCTGTCTCTAATATTCATAATAAAATGAAGCTTTAAAATATGTTGCAGCCTCTTCGATCATAATCATAAAATAAGCTGAAGTGACATGAAAAAAGTGTACATGTCCGTGTTGTATGTGTGTGTGTATATTTGTGTATATGAAATGATCACTAGTACGTATAGGAAGGAGGTAGTTGTTGTATTCTATTCTATACATGTTGTGTATAGATTTCCTTTGATTTGAAGTGTTGTCCTATTGTACAACAATTTTGAAAAACACATCCACGCACACACACAGAGGATACACAGAAGCACACTATAGTGAGTGAGAGAAAGGAGAAACAGGCATATACAATTCATTTAGACGCCTTATCTATGAAACAAACTAGGCGTTAATAAAAAAAAAAGTTGATATTACTAATATTGTTTGTTATCTTGAATCAGAAAAACCAATCCAACTTGAGAAATTCAAAAATTAATTATTGTATTGTATTGTTCAGCCAAACAAACACCACCGCCGCCCCCATAAGCAAAAATTAAAAATGTAGCAGATACAGGCACACACTTGCACGTAGACACACATACACACACACACACCTCCACAGAAGTAATGTATATTGAGGCAACAAATAATCCATCATTAGACAGCATTTGCTTACGATCCAATTCTGTTTGTATGTCTATCTATACAGCAGACGCAGACAAACACACATACACACATACATGTTTGTGCATCAATATGTTATGCTTTAACTAAAACTGCTTTACAGATAGAAAGATTTATCTTATCGTGTAAGAAAAAAGAGCTAGCTAGAGCTAACCAACCAGACAATTGGATACATGTAGTCTCGTTTGAATATATAATAATAAGCATGTATCGTGGAAAGAATTTCTGGATTCCAATTCATTTCACAAATTTAACTTGTCTCTCTTGTTAAATGCAATAATTGTATTGTGTGTTGATTTGCACCAGACACCAGCAACAACAGCCATCATCTTCATCTGCGCATATTACAGTCTTGTTCAATTATAAACATATTTTTTTTCTAAAATTGTACAATAACATTTTGGGAACAGTTTGATTTCACATTGATCATTGTGTGTGTGTAGTTGAATGACTACTGACAAAAGACGTGATTGTATTATGGAGACAATAACATGTGGACATGATTATACAACATCGTCAATACATCGACATCATCGTCAGCATCAGCATCATGGAACAAATTTGAAGTAAGTTTTTAATGGTAAATTTTGATGTAAATGTCCATTTGTCAAAAAATACTCATCAGTTCACTTACCCTCATGTTTCTCTAGTTAAATAACATTAGTTTATAGGGAAAAGAAGTAATTTTTGCTCATATGCTAGTTCTACTAAGCGCTTAGTAATGGAATTTAGAAAGCGTGTTTTTGGTTAAAGATTATAGATTTTTAAAATGAACACTGATTATAATTTGTCATTTAGTACTTTAATTGTGTATAGCTTATAAGCTAAAACATTTTTCAATTAGTTATGGGAATCTTTTAGTTGTTTGAATTGGCATTCGATGTTCAATGTTCAAAGTTTTATAGAACATAAATGGAAGATATTTCTTCATATGATTACATGAGTCAGTCAGATACAATGTAGAACTACGTACGTAAGTACATCAGTTCATGTTACCATACTACATCAGCACACAGAGATGTAATTGTCAATTCAAATCCAATAGTAGAAGAGGTAGTAAAGGTATTAAAAGTAATCGGGACAGGTTAGGATTAGAAGATATTATTCAAGAAGTAAAGATTCAGTGAGAAAAGTTTAGAAAGTCAAAACTAGAGGTGTTGAAGAATCCAGAAGATTAGGATTTGAGAGAACATCTGATGTTTACTCACATAGGATTTAGGTTTATCAAAGAAAGTTAGAGATGGTCAGATTAAACACATACAGTTGGTTTATAAAGTCATTGACTGTTAAATGGAATTGTGTTAAAAGTATATACAAGTTAATTATTACTAATTACTGAAGATGTTGGATGAAATGGTTTAATTACATATGAGAGAGAGAGAGAGATAGTATTCACTTTTGATCTCCTCTATAGATTTTTACTTTTCCCACGGATACTAATTTTGTCTCCCAGATATTTCCTGTTGATTATTTCATCTCACCATTATGTTGACAACAGGTTCTACATTTGTTTACAACTAACTACATTTTGAACGTTTCTTATATTGCAAATGAGTGACTTCACTCTAGGAACATACAATTAATTCATGTTTAATCTTACTAATTTAAGTAGTAATATAAACTATTCAATGATCATACGTGTAGATTACAGTTACAGTTTTTTTAAATATCAGACACTGAGGAAACTACTGATATTGAATAATTATATAGTCCAACATGTCATGGATCCATGAAGTCATTGACAACTGGATTGAGTTGTGTTAGTAGCTGTAGACTATCTGATTGATATCCTCGAGATGATAGTAACTGATGGTTAGAAAGAGACTTTGAATGAGATGGCTCGAAATCATTTACAATGGCGCCGGTGCATTCACTCTTTTATTCTCTGAAATTCCAGTCCTCTCAATTCCCCATGACCTCTATGTATCTCTTTAAAAAATTTATTTCACGGGATTTTACTTCCTGAATAATATCTTTGAACCTTAATCTTTTTGATTACCGCTAATACCACTATGGAATTCGTATTGCGAAATGTATCTCTGTGCTATTGTGGTATGACAACTTGAACTGATGTACGTATCAACGAAGTTCTACGTTGTAGTTGACTGACTGAATTCCATCCGCTTAATCAATTAATAATCTTTTGTCTAACAAGTTAGATAGTTGAATGTGATTCATTGTTAATTTTTTTTTCAAAAATTGTGATTGAAAAAATATTCATAAATTTTTCAATATGGGCTAGAATTTCCTATTCAACTCGTATAATTTGAATCCATTTTCCATTGATAGTTAAGAGTTGCTTTTAACCAATTGCTTTGAAATATGCGCGAGTTTCCTCGAGTTTTTATTGTTCAGTCACATAAGTATTCTTAGTACAGATGGATGGTGGCTAACGATGGAATGTAGGGCGCTCGTTTAATCCTGCATGCTTGGGATTTGTCAACTGTTGGACGTAGCAGATATATCCACCTGATAGATCTCAAATAGGATCAGTCGCACATCCTGGATTCCTATACTAACCACAATCTATCTATTCTGGTAGTTCACAGTTAGGATTTTAGGATATTTTCCAATGTCCTATTAGGAAATTACACTGTAATATTCCTAAAATCAAGCATTTTGTGTTCATTCAACAGTGATAGAATTAATCTGATATGTTTATATTAGAATTATCAATTGTCCCAAATCGCTGATATTATTAGTGTAAGGGAAAATATTAATTTTCATATTCACATGTATACAGTAGGAGTATCAACCTCATGTGATTTTACGAGTGTATATATATATATATATATATATAGACCATTAGTACCTAGGTAAGGATGGCAGATCAATAGATGAAGTAATGAAACTTCATCAGTTGAGGTGGTCGGGACACGTGTTACGAATGCCTAGCCACCCAACTGCCTCGACGAGCTATGTTTTGTGGTGTAGGAGTAGGTTGGAAGAAAGTTAAGGACGGCCAGACCAAAACATGGCACAAATCCATGAAGCGATTGACAAGTAGACTGAGTCATGTTGATAGATGTAGGCTGCCTGGTTGGGGTCTGCGAGAAGAAAGTCATCGATGATTAGAGACCCTGAATGACGTGGCTGAAAACCGTTTGCGCCAGTGCATTTATTCGTTATGTTCTCTCAAATCCACATCTTCTGGATTCGTCAACACCTCTACCTTTGTCTTTCTAAATTAACCTCACTCAATTATACTTCTTGAATAATATCTTCTAATCCTAATCCTCTCCATTACTGTTAATACTTCTATTATCTCTACCACAATGGTATTTGAACTGACAATTGCGTCTCTGTACTAATATGGTGTGGCAACGTGAACTGATGTACTTACGTACGAAGTTCTACGTTGCAACTGACTGACATTAGTACCTTTAAACTCATTGAAATACACTCTCAACATGACTTATTATAAGTAATTTTACAAATATCTCGTCAAATAAAATACGATTTAAAAAATTAAACTTGATTTCAAATTAAATTTTATTCTTGAATGAATTAATTTAGGTATTGAAAATCATTGAAATTTGAGCAATTTCAATTTTTCAACTTACCACCTTATTTCCACTAATTAGGAAAAAAACTAATTCTTACTGGTACTCTTATCATACATTTAATATCATAATGAAAAAATTTCCTTTCAAAACCGCCGAAATTATTCTCAACATTTTCAATGTTTCCCTTCACCCCTGAATTGATTGTACATTACTACTTATTTTAGTAGTAGTAGTAGTAGTAGTTTGTTGTAGCTTGAATCAACCAAAATTAGAAAATTGAAAATACTTGATTTGATGTTGAACCCAAAGACAAGCAGATAATGAAATATTTACCCATTTACCTTCCTAAAAAACAAAACTACTCACATACAAAATCAACATGTTATAACAAGTTTTTGGCAATTATTTGCTTCATCTTCTATTTTTGGCTATGAAAATGTTCCATCGTATATCCATACTGAAAGAATACCACATTTATGTGTTTACAAACAGATTGGTTCCTCTTTTTTTGTAAAATATCAGTACAGTGGTTGATTGTTAGTTGGTTTAATAAAAATGTGATAAGATTGGATGAGCAACTTTGAAACATGCAGAAATTTTTTCTGTTTATACACAGTTGATCAACACAACAATGATCTCTGTCTATCGTTCTTTTGCCCACGACTCTCTGTTTTTTACACACTATGGATGGTCGTTAGTGCAACATCTCATTTTACTTTGCATAAAGTACAGAATTAAGAGTATTTACATTTAGTTTTGTGGATTTCTCCCTCTTTTTTTGATATGGCCAAAATCATTTACAAACGAAAATTCACCTTTATTCTCTATCGTATATTATCAATGATCTAATCGAATGAGTATAAGGTGAGATGGCATTTTATTTCACCAAAAACACGTATACACATGCAAATTGGATTTTGGTAGGACAGAAAATTAATGTTTCACTGTGTGTGTTTTTTCTGTCTTTTGCATGAATTTAAGTAATAAAAAAAAGAGATTGATTTTAATTTGTTGGTGATATTTGTCTAAAGATGATCCCCCAACTGTGGTGTACGCTACTTATGTTCACATAAGTAGTATATATGATATCAAATGGAAATCAAATGTCTGACAGCAAAAGATCGACAAGGAAAGAATGAGAACAGAAGGCGATTTGTAGGTAACGTAAAGTGAACTGAAATCTGTCTGAACAGTCTAAATGAAAGAACACTAAAATCTGAAACAAATAAGGATTAGTTTGCAAATGACGACTTCACGGGAAGGTTTTGTACATATGCCTAACAACTTTGTAATATTCGCTTAAATATAAATTGTTGATGTCCTCTCCTGAGTTTTCGTGCACAACACTACTACATATGTGTATATATGTATATAACACAGCACTTTTCAAATTTTTTGATTACAAGTGTCTTCTAAAACCATGTTTATTTACTTCTATGGAATGGTGTTTTGAGTGACTAATCGGTAGACTCTTTAGACGAAGCGTTCTATGTGGTTATGTGGTTTTGTGTATTCAATTGAATGTGAGTAGTTAGTACATGTAGGTATTTTTTTGTTCAGTGTCTAATTGCAGCCTGAGATGAGAGAGCTTATATAGGAGGGAAAGCGGTAGCTGAAAGTTATGAAATCAAGTCAAAGGTAGATAGAGATTATATGATCAATATCCCTGTGATAACAGTGAGTATTCGTTACAGTTACGTGACTTCTGATCGATTACAATGGCACAGATATGTATTCACTGCTGAATTTCAGTATTCCTAGACACATTTTTTACACTCAATCAGTTTAAAGTGTACTGTCAAGGTCTATTTTCCTAACATTCAGCATGTCAATTTTATTTTTTAGTTACTGTTGTATGTCAACTTGAGTCAATGCATATTTAAGTCATTCTCTACGTTATTAATGACTGATCTATATGTGATTGGGTATAAATTTCTTCTAACTCAACAATCATTGAATAGTTTATTTCAATATTCAACAAAGATAAGATGAATTCATTGAACAGACAAATCATATTCGAATCTATTTCCTCGTATTTTGGTTTAGGTAGAGAGGAAAAT